CAGTACCTGACGAAGACCCCGAAGAAGCTCGCACGCACTACATGCGCACCTCCGGGTTCCGCGCCGACAATGCGCTCTGGCACCAGCGCCTTGGCCACCCTTCCCGCGCGACGCTGAAAAACTGCATCGACGCAGGCGTCTTCGCTCCTGGAGCGCTCCTGCGCCCAGATGGCTCCGAAGTGAGAGGCGCGACACATCCGCGCAACTGCACCGTCTGCCCCGAAGCTGCGCTGAGCCACCAACCGTTCCCGCTGCTCGAACCCAGAACAAATCGCTACCCCAAGCTGCACAAGGTGTACAGTGACTTCCTGAATGTGGGGCACTGCGGAGCCAACGACGAAATGTACACGCTCACCTTCGTTGATGCCGGAACGCGCTATGTGTGGGTTGTGAACGTGGAATCGCGCAGCAGAGCTTACGAGGTATTTTGCCTCTGGCTGGCGCACGCGTAGCGGCAGTCCGGAGAGAAGCTAAAAATATGGCAATCTGACGGCGCAGCGGAATTCAGGAGCAAGGATATGCAGGATTACCTGGCGCAAAAAGGGATCGAGAACCATATTTCTCTCCCCTACATGCACTAGCAGCAGGGCGTAGCTGAGCGGACGAACCGCACGCTTATGGCAAAGGTGCGGGCGCTGATGAAGCAGTCGAAGCTGCCGCCGATCTACTGGACCTACGCGATGCACCACGCCGTGCGGGTGCACAACCTGCTATCAACCACCGCCATCACCGGGAACTTGTCCCCACACGTAAAATGGACCGGGACTAAGGGGAACACATCCATGCTCCGCGTGTGGGGGTGCATGGTGCAATACCGCCCGCCGACGTCAACCATCGGCAAATTCGCCAGCCGCGCGCGATGGGGCATTCACCTCGGCATCAGCCACGAGCACAAGGCATGGATCGTGCTGGACCTGCTCAGCCAGAAGACCACCCATGCCCGCGACGTCATCTTTTACGAACGCCTCTTCCTCGAGCAGTTCCGCCACGACGAGCAGACAAATGCGAACCGCGTCTACGCGAACGACGGGCACAGCTACGCAACGCCCGAGGACGAAGCCGCTGCAGCAATCCTGGAACAGGACACCAGGGGCGGGTTCACAAGGGGAGATCGCCACAGCAGCGACGACGACGACGACGATTCCTCTGGAGGAAGAATGGGCGGAACAGGCGGAAGCGGCAGAGGCGCAGCTCCACCAGCACCTGAGCCAGAGAGCGATGACGACGACGTACAGGAAGTCATCCCGCAGCATCGCCAAGACAGCACCGTCTCTGGGCTGCAGGTGCTTGGGCTGCACACCGCAACCTCTAAGGCGCCACGTGCCATCGAACCACGAAACCCGCGTCAAGCCCTCACCGGACCACACAGCAAGGAATGGCGCGAGGCGATGGACGCGGAGATTAAGGCACTCGAATCCCGCGACACCTGGGTATTCGACCGGGCAGCAATTAAAGGCGCAAGGATCCTCTCGGGGAAGTGGGTCTTCCGCGTCAAGTCCGCAGCTGACGGAATGATCGAGCGCTTCCAAGCACGGTGGGTGGTGCGCGGCTACGACCAGAGGCACGGGATCGACTTCGATCAGACGTTTGCGCCAGTCAGTCGCCACACCTCCGTTCGAATCCTGCTCGCCATCGCAGCTGCTAGACACCTGCCCCTGCGCCAAATCGACGTAAAGAACGCGTTCCTGTACGCGTTAGTAGATGCCGTGATCTACGTGGAGCAGCCGCATACATACGGTGAAGGGGATTCACGCGTATGCCAGCTGCGCAAGTCCCTTTACGGGACAAAGCAAGCACCGAGGCTCTGGCAGCAGTATCTGCACAACATTCTGCTCGAAATCGGGTTCAAGCAAATGCCGCATGATCCTGGGATGTACCGCCGTGATTTCAGGGGCGAATACATTCTGCTCACGGTCTACGTTGACGATCTGCTTTACACAAGTTCGAGCAACGAACTATTGAAGCAGTTCGAGAAGAGTCTGGCGGGGCGCCTCGATATCACCTGCAACTACAAGGTGAAGCAATTCTTAGGCCTGAACATCTCCTACGCGCCAGAAGCCATTCACCTCTCAGCGGCCAAGTATTCAGAGGAGCTTTGAAAGCGCTTCAACATCTCCCCTGCACCACTCTCCACTCCCTACCGAACTCCCGGACCGAACCACAAACCTGACAACAAAGCCCTATCCCCCGCTGGCATCCAAACTTATCAGCAGCAGCTGGGATGCCTTCTCTTCGCCTCTGTCACCTGCAGGCCAGACCTCTCCTACATCGCGAGCCAACTGGCTCAGTACTCCCGCAAACCAACGGCTGAGAATCTTCTGGACCTGCAGCGCGCCTTGCAGTTCTTCATCTCAATGCCTAAGATCGGGCTGTGCTTCTCAACAGTGCCCACCCCATCATTTAACCTCATCGGCTACGTGGACGCTGATCACGCAGCAGATCCTGACAATCGACGGTCCAGGACTGATTTTCTGTTCCGGCTCGAACCGGCGGGACAAATCTCGTGGAACTCGCAGAAACAGGAGCTGGTTGCCCTGTCGTCAGCCGAAGCAGAATTCATCGCAGCAACCGCAGCAGTTCGCGAAGGTCTCTACATGCAGGAACTCCTGCAGGAGGCGAAAATTCCAGCTTCGCCCACCTTTCGCCTCCACTGCGACAACCAGAGCGCGATTCGTATCGCGAACAAACCTGGCTTCGTCAACCGCACCAAACACATTGCGCTGCGGTACTTCTTCGTCAAGGACGAAGTGGACAAAGGCAAGGTTGACTTGACCTATTGTCCGAGAGGTGACATGGCAGCGGACTTCCTCACAAAGCGACTGCCACGCCAGCAGTATCAACACTCTCAGCGGAGTGGTCAAGCAGGTCAAGTCAAGCTACGGCCAGGAGTGAAGGGGGGTGTTACGAATGGTAATGTTTGAAACATTACTGTGCACTCCTAACCGCAGCTAAGGAAGCACGCAGTATCGAGAACGAATACGAGGAGTCAGAACTGACTCGAAGCGTCAGACGGTTGGGGTGGATCTGGACCGTCAGGGCAGACGACATCGGGCAGCTGAAGGCACGAGGAAATTGGCGGGAACAGTTTCTTAACTGTACGCGCTGCACGGTTGGAATGAACTCGAATAAGGGAATGTACCCCTTAGAGTACATGGCTAGCTAGGTCGATTCGAATTCCCCTGTACTCATATTTATACCTCTGTATTTTCATGTTTTTATCATCTCAAGCATTTTACATCCACTCTGCTATTGAGATCAAGGGCCCACCACTAACTACCTAGCTGTGTGCGAACCTTCCTGAGGAGATCCTGGGAGCGATCCCCTTCTGATCGTAACAAAGCGAAGCACACAGTACCGAAGCATGAAAACGAAGAGTCAGAGTTGACTCGAAGCGTTGCAGACAGTTGGATGGATCTAGACCGTCGGGAGCAGACGACATCGGACAGCTGCAGGAGCGAGGGAATCGGCATGAACAGTTTCGTAACTGTTCGAGTCGCACGGTTGGTTTCGAATTTGAATAAGGGAATGTACCCCTTAGAGTACATGGCTAGCTAGGTCGTTTCGTATTCCCCTTGTACTACTATTTATATGCTTGTATCTGCATGTCTTAATTCACCTCAAAGCGTTTTACATTCACTCTGTTTTGAGGTCAAGGGCCCACCACTACCAATCAGCTGCGTGCGAAACTTCCCGAGGTGATCCTAGGCTCGATCAACTTCTGATCGTAACATGGTATGAGAGCGACTCGGGGATCCTTTGCAACGCCACCACTGAAACCATCGGCGAACTAAAGTGGCGTCCGTCACACGCTCACGCGTACGAATGGCCGAAGGATCCGGAGGTCAGACGAATCTGACGGCTGAAGCGCAACCCAATCCGGAGGCGACGATAACTATCGGCACCGCGGTCCTCGAACAACTGCTTCAGCGACTCACGAACTTGGAGCAAGGACTCCAAACATTGCGGAATGGCGACGCGGGAACAAATTCCCAACCCTCTCAACCGGCCTCGATAAAACGACCAGAATACCGCCCCGCACACCTTCTCCCTCGACACAAATGGCTCAACACCCAAGACTCCCCGTCCCAGCGAAGAAGCAATTCTCTCTGCGCAATCAAGGTTTCTCAGCATATCAAAAATAAAGACAAGTGTGTGCTTTGACGGCAGAGATTTTTATACCTGGAGCTTCGAGTTGGAGCTTCTACCGCAAAACGCGCAAATATTCCACTACTTCGACGGCAGCTACTCGGAACCAGCCGAGGACACCGCCGACGCCAGGACGCGCTACTACAACGAGTCCCTGATGGCGTACGGCGTTCTCATGTGGAACATGTCGCCGGCGGAGCAGCTGAGCATTCGCTCATACAAGGAATCCCCTGCTCCAGCCCTCAACCCATGGCGTCACCTGAACGGCGTGTATCAACCAAAAGATTCGGTTTTATCGAAGCGCCTGCTCCAGCAGCTACAGGAGACGAAAATGGCCCTAGGGGAGAAGGCCAACAGCTATATAAATCGCTGTCCGAGCTTACGCGATCAAATCGCGAAGTTGGGAAGCAGCATATCCAAAGAAATCTTCGTGAATGTTGTGCTTCAAGGGCTCAGCCCAGAGTGGCGGCCCTGCAAGCCGCTTCTCTGACAGCTTGGGTTCCTCTTGGAGGCCGCCCTTTGCACCGCCCTTCTCGTCGAACAGAGAGACATGGACCAGCAGCGACCAGCGCCGCGACGAGACCGGGAACGCCTCGCCTTCTACGCCGACAACACTGAAGAGCGACGGCCGCGGCGCCTCTACTGCAAGATTTGCAGAAACTTCGGGCACCTGGCAGATCGATGCAAGTCCCGATCTCGCCCTCGCCAGACCAATCCGAGCAACTAGTCCAGCCGACAAGGCGCACGACACGACATGCGTCCAGCCCAAAAGTATCAACCCCCATCGCGCAACCTGAACCCAACGGTTCAGCATCAGCAGCAGCAGCCGTCACCACATGCCCCAGCGCGCAACGTCATGGGGAACATGGCCATGACTGGCAAATCCCGTCGTCGCCGCCACCTCCGCCGCCTACGCCCCCTCTCGCTCCACCACTCCCACCGCCACCTCTACCACCTCCGCCTCCCCAACCACCGCCACCACCTTCCCCCCCGCCACCACCCCCACCACCCTTGCCCCCCTTGCCCTTGCCGCTGCGGCGCTTCCCACTAGGAGCAGAAGCAGCACCGACCTCCTCAGCACCAAGGAAGTCAACAGCAGCAGCAGAGGCAACAGAGGGGGCGAGGGGGGAGGGGGAGCACCCCTCAAAGAAGGGCGTGCGAGGAGTGCCACGAGTAGCACCTACAGCAACAATGTTCGCTTCAGCTGCAAGAAGGTGCTTCCCTAGCAGGTCGATAGTGAGGTCTGTGGGGGGGAGAGCGAGAAGGGTGTCCCGGACTGCACTAAGAGAGTCAGGGAGGCGTGTCACTATGAAGTGGAGAGCGATATAGATCGGGGGCTCGTTCTTGGGGAGGAACTCGGCAGGGAGGGCAGCACGGTAACGAGCGTCCATAGCGCGGAGGTGGGAGAGAAGATCGTCTACAGTGGCGAAGGAGGAGAGGTCAGGGATAAGGTAGGGCAGGAAGAGGCGAGTAAGCGCTGCAGTGGCAGGGGAAGAGTAGCGGGCAACTACAGCGTTGTAGAGGGTCTTAGCAGTCTTCGCCTGGTCAAAATGCTCGCATTCAGCTACCGGCAGGTGGTTGCGAATGGCTAGGCGAGCAGCAGCATCGCGGGTAAGCCACTGTGAGCGAGTCGTCGCGTCAGCTGAGGCTGGTGGGGCAATGGAGGCACTAGTCGCTAGGTCATAAAGGGAAACACCGTCCTTAGCGTCGCTCAGTAGGTACAGCTGCAGGTCTTGGAGCCAAGTGTCGAATTTGACTGGGCGGTCGTCAGGATCAAAAGAGAGAATACGCAGAGTTGCCATAGTTTAGCAGCTTAGAGGCAGCACAAGGGCAGGGCCGAGGCAGCGCGAGGGCTGCAGAAGCTGCGCGCGGGGCAGCAAGGGCGCGCGGGCTGCCGGGGCGTGCGCACGGGGCAGGGAAGCAGCGCGCGGGGCTGCCGGGGCTTAGCGCGGGGCAGGAAGAGCGGCGCGCGGCCTGCTGGGGCGGCGCGCGGGGCTGCTAGGGGGCGCGAGGGGCAGGGAAGCGCAGCGCGTGGGCTGCTGGGGCGGCGCGCGGGGCTGCTAGGGGCCGCGAGGGGCAGGTGGGGCAGCGCGCAGGCTGCTGGGGTGGCGCGCGGGGCTGCTAAGGGGCCGCGAGGGGCAGGTGGGGCAGCGCGCGGGGCTGCTAAGGGGCCGCGAGGGGCAGGTGGGGCAGCGCGCGGGGCTGCTAAGGGGCCGCGAGGGGCAGGTGGGGCAGCGCGCGGGGCTGCTAAGGGGCCGCGAGGGGCAAGCAGGGCAGCGCACGGGGTTGCTAAGGGGCTGCGAGGGGCAGGCGGGGCAGCACGGGGGCTGCTGGGGCAGCGCGCGGGGCTGCAAGGGGCTGCGCGCTGGCGGCTAAGGTGACGTGCGGGGCAGTGAGGGGCAGCGCGCGGGCTGCAGGAAAAGCGACGCACGGGCTGCAGGGGCGGCACGTGCGGGCGGTACAGGGCAGGGAAGGTCGTAGGGTAGCGCGGTAGTTGGTGGGCCCGAAAAAAAAAAGGCCGGTCCTACGGACCTACTGCTCGGAAATCATGTCGAGATAACCAGGCAAGAACGAATGCATTGAAAGGAATGTGGGTACGAGTACTAACCCTAGAAAGTTGTACCCCATATAAGCTACCCCACTACAGCCTACAAACAACAAAGTCTATTATAGTTTAACAAACCTGCCCCGCTCACTATTGCCGGACTCCAATCTCATGGCAACTTCATACCGGGGCGCGATGTGGGTGCACCAATGCCTGAGTTTGTCCCACCTAGCTGCCCCACATAAGGGCGTTGAAAATCTGTTAGAGGGCAACAAATGGGACTCAATTTCTTACAAGCTAATGCGTCGTTGAGGGTGGCAAAGGGATGCACCGTGGTATGGGGGCAAGTGAATAAAGTGGGCAAAGGAAGGGGCTGGAACGGGCAGGGACTGGGCAAGCGGAGGACAGGGAATGGGGCGGGCAGGGGTGACCAGCATGGGTGAAAGATGATACGGGTGCATCCTTTGGGGCGGAATCAACAGCATCGTGCGGTGTGGGGGAGAAGCATGACAAACTAGGGTCAGGAATGAGGCACAAATGGGTTAGGATGTGGGATAAAATGGTGGGGGGGTGAGTGTGGCCTGGGGAATGTGAGAGGTAAGCGTTTGGGGAGAGGGAAGAAGACAAGACCTGTGTAATAGGATTGAAGAACTCCAGTAAGTTGACCCCGGAAGGACACCTGCAGATACTTAATGTCACAGACTCAATCCCGGACGCCCCTCAAACGAATCTTCAACTGATTCTTAGTTCGAGGGTGACAAGGGTGCAAAGCAAACCATGCCCGAGTGATCTACGCAAGTCCGTGGTGAGTTCGTTAGTCCACTTGCACCTCATCCTATCTCTTGTGCTACTTGACGTGCCATCTCACTCGCTCACAGCTCCTCCGGGTTGTGCGTCCAAAACTACGCATAGGAAGTCCATGGTGAGATCGCAGTGCACTTGCTCTTCATCCTATCTCTTGTGCTACTCGAGGTGCCATCGCACTCGCTTTCCGCTCGGAGGCTTGAGGCCACATTCCGAGCTTTTTGCAGGTTATGTCCGATTGGTGTCGGGTGCGGTGCGGAAGGGGGGAGTGAGGCTGGGTTTTCCCCTCGTTGGGTGAGGCCATGCAAAGGGCCTCGAGCAGATGCCTGAGTAGACAACTTTTGAATATGTTGCGGAATACCTTCATTCAACATGATGTCCAACGGCTGCCTGATAACATGAGTAATGTGGAGCCAGGGCTCAAACGGGGGCAGAGGGGAGGGAGCGAGAAGAGGGAGAAAGATACAAAATGGGTGGTTCAAGCATGGGGGAGCTGAAATGATTTATTGATGACACTTAGTAGTGGCGAAGCAGATACATATCTGATGCGAAATTACATATCTACTACCGATGGATACCGATGTCATGTTAAGGCAGCCATGGATACTATCAGGCGCTTCAACCTCAACAATGTCCTACCTACCATCCCCTATTTTTAACAATGACTACACCGTTACATGCAGCTTGGTGCCCTCTATAAGGGACATAAAAATTATACCCACAATGCGGGTATCCTTCATGCTTATCGAGTGCCAGGCAAACAGTCATTGTCATCCCAAGGGATTGTTAGTTTGTCAAAGCTTAGCGCTCCGCGACTGCTTAGCATAGAGATTGCACTAGCAAAGTCAGAGTTATCACTATGGAATCTAGGTAGTTGCTGAAAGTCTCCAACCGGTTCGCTGATTGTGTGGTCCAACATTCACAGAGCGAGCCAGGTTGCTTTCGTCTGCACTACCCAAGGGACAGCGTCGCCTTGGCTAAGGCTTCAAAAACCTCAGCCTTGGGAATGGAAGTCCAGGAAGAAGAAAGCTGGCTACTTAAGGAGACTGGAAAAGGTCTTCAGCATCGCTTCTCAGCATGTACCAAGTTCCCGACATCCCAGTATGCCTCTGAAAGGCAGAACTACCAAGGCCACCACTACAATGACGTCCACTGAGGATCCGCAGGTGCCGGTGCCTGAACAGGAAGTTGTCGCTGGTGAGGTTGCATCTGCTCCCGCGGTCGTCGCGGCTTAGGACGCACCAGCGGTCGCTGCGTCTGCGCCGAATCAGGGTGCTCCTGCTGCGACTTCGGCTGATTTTCAGGATCCTTCTGGATCTCATCGTTCGGAGCTTTTTGCGCCGATGTGTGAGGAGGAAGATGAGGATGACAGATATTTGAGTGACGACTCGGATGAAGGGATCGACCTGCAGGCGAAGGGCTTACTTGCATCCAAGGTGCAGGTCACGCTGACGCTGCTGATCCCGCATACTCTTGCTTCCGAAGTTCGAGCGGCGGAAGCATCGGTACGTGCGCTTCTGGTGTACCTGAGGAAGAAGCTTCTGGTGTCGGAGGACGCGTTGAAAGTGCTCTCCTTCCAGGAGCTGCTTCCGACGTGGCTGTCGCAGGTCCGCTACAGCCGGCTGTAGGTCACGTTCGCCTCCCTTGCTGATGCAGAAGTGGTTCGCCAACATTTGGTGGATCACGTGGGTGCGGATGGCAAGACGTGCTACGCATTCAGCATGTGATTGAGAGAAGCTTCTTGAAGGCGAAGGCTGACATGCCGGAAGGAGTAGAGGTGCTTCTCAAGGGTGTGCCGCAAAAATCACGCCGACGATCGTTTATGAGTCGCTGGTGGTCCACAAGCTGCAGAAACGCGGAAGTTCGGCATTCCTGCAAGGCGCGGGTTTCCACCGGGTGATTGATTCGGTTACTGGGCTGGGAACGGACAAGATTCGTGGCGTGGTGGCTCCGCACCCTGGAGACACTTACCACTGGCGCCACGTGGTGGAGGACCCGCTCGTTGACAAGCACTACCTTGTTCACTTTCCATCTCTGTCTTGTGGCCTGTGCCAGGGACAGCACGTGGATAAGTTGCATGATGAGCATGTGATTGAGCGTCAAAGCAGCATCGCCAAATGGTCCTTGTCGATAGGCAGGGTCCATGCGCTTAACGGTAATGGGGTGGGGGTCTTATCGGCACGACGGGGTTTGCGCTGCTGGTTTATCCTTACCTTCCTTTTTACTGACGGAGTGGTGATGCGTGTGCTCTGCAGCAGCCTCCCTCAAGGCAGCAGGGGTGGTCAGGAAGCTTCTTCGAGATCCCGCGTTAGTCCTGATTTCGACTGGGTCCAGCGCGGAGGAGTGGCTGTGCGTCCAGGAGTGCTGCGATCATGCCCACGGAGAGACCTTTGAGCAGGCGGCAGCACACATCGGCTCCTTTCGCCATGCATCTGCGGTGGGAACGGCGGGGGTGGCAACCCGTGCAAGCAAGGCAAAGCAGAACTTGCAGAAGGTGAAGAAGGTGTTTGGCTTTCGCGCCGATGGGGCAAAGTCGAAGTGATGTCGCATCAGCTGATGGGAGGGGAGAAAGTAGCATGGTACTAGTTAGACGGTGATGCAGTCTCTGTAATGTCATGGAGTATATACACGATGGTTTCATCTGGCAGCTGCGGTCTTACCTTCAGCCCGTGGATGCTTTGGGGCCTGTCACAGGTTCCAGATGGGTAAACACACCACCCTCTCCTTCAGCGCGTTAACGGACTTGGTTTTTCCAGAAGCAGCATGACACTCACAAATGGATGACAAAAGCAGCGCAGATTATCATTCTAGCAGACACCAGGATTAAGGAGGACCATAGTTTTTGGACTCACATACAAGCGAACTCGGTCGTTGCAGTCTCACCTGCTGCTAGAGCGGGAGGGGTGGCGATCATATCACGGTTCCCTGAAGTAACTCTCACAGGTCCGGTCAAGGATGGCTCTGGCTGCTTGGTGCAGGTGACGCTATCATGGAGAGGAGTAGTGGTAGTGGTCGTAGCAGCCTACTTCCCGTCGAACCCGACAGCGAGAGGCCCGTTTTTCAGGGACGTGCTTCAGCCGTTTGTCACAGCGATCCCCGGTGGGAGCCACGTGGTGCTTGCGGGTGACCTGAACATCGTAGAGGACCCAGCGTTAGACAATACATTATGGGCTGGATCGAGAGGGGAGAATGATAGGCTCACGGCGGTCTGCAGCATATTTGACATGAGAGACGCTTTTCGGGCGATTCACCCTTTCCTGCGGGAATATACCTTCTACGCGGCAGCGGTGCAGGAGAGCACGAGGATAGACCGCATCCTGGTGTCGCAGTCAATGCTGCATATGGTCCATGAGGTGCGGCACGTGGGACTTGTCAAGCGGTTCACTGATCACTGGTCCGCAGTCCATATGAAGCTGAGCGCGGGGACGGATGGGGAAGCCGGCCCAGGCTTATGGAGGCTTCCGGCATCCCAAGGAGAAACAAGGAGAGGGGAGGTGATCTGGAGGCTCTTACGAACTCCCTCAAGGTCGGACTCAAGGCGTACACGGTGGAGGAAAGGAAGCGGGTAGCAGCCACAATGGCACACCTAGAACGGGAGGTGGGGGAGCTGAGACAGAGAGTGATGAGCAGGCCACGGTGCACAAGGACGAAGGCGAGACTGGTGAAACACGAGGCGAAGCTCAAGGCGTATGAGGATGGGAGGCATCAGAAAATGCAAGAGCAGGCGGGCATCAAGGTGGAGATGGACGGCGAGGCTCCCACCGATTTCCTGTCTGGGAAAATCAAGGCGAGGAAGGCGAAGACAAGGCTGGAGGCGGTGAACTTTCAGGGGAAGCAGCACGTGGGGGCGAAGGAAGCTCTTAAAGTGGAATCGGAGTTTTACGCAGACTTGTTGGCGGCTAAGGCAGGGCTGGGGGGCTTGCCGATGGACTTCAAAATGGAAAGAAGTTTCTCACCGGAGGATGCAGCGGCATTACGCGCACCATGGGATGAGGAGGAAGTCAATCGAGCGCTGGCAGAAATGGCGTCTGGCAAAACCCCAGGGAGAGACGGCCTCCCGAAGGAGCTCAGGGAGTCACAATGGGACCTCATGGGGGGCAGGTGATGAAGTTCTTGAAGGAGTTCGAACGGACGGCGGCGCTGCCGGCAGAGTTTTCGACAGCGGTGACCGTACTTCTGCACAAGAAGGGGAACAAGGAGGATCTGCAGAATTATCGCCCGATCACCCTGCTAAGCACGGCATACAAGCTGGTGGCGAAAATTCTGGCGAACAGGATAAAGCATATGCTGGAGAAGGTTGTGTCTACGGGGCAGTTTGGATTTCTACCTGGGCGCAGCTTGGCTGGTGCAGTGGCGATTGCGGCGAATGCAATCGATGCGGCCAACTCCTAGGGAGAGGATTGGCTGCTTCTGCTGGTAGACTTCGGGTTGGCATTCGATTCTGTATCCAGGGGGTGCCTTTTCGAGGTGCTGAGGAGAATGGGGTTCCCGGACGAGTACGTGAAATGGGTTGAGGGCCTGCACCAGGGAGCAGCAACACGCATCTGCAATGATGGTTGGCTCGGAGACGGAGTGCCAGTACAGACCGGTGTGAGGCAGGGCTGTCCCCTCGCGCCGTACTTATTCCTTTGTGCAGTGGAGCCTCTCTGTCAGGAAGCGCAAAGAAGGCAACTCGGTGTGGACATTACAGGGGCAGGGAAGCTGACGTACCTGGGCTCCGCAGACGACACTACCTTTCTGCTGAAAGGGCGAACGCAGCTTGGCATGGCGGAGAAGTTTGCTCCGGGACTTCGAGCAGATGTCGGGGCTGGCGGCAAACTGCGCCAAAACTGTGGTGATGCCACTGGGGAAGCAGCGAGATGAGCAGCCGCCGCCGGTCTCTCCCTTCAAATGAGCCTGAGCGCCTGCTGGGGGTATGGATCACATTGGGAGGGGACGCAAAGCCATCGTGGAAAAAGGCATTGCAAAGGATGGAGACGGAGCTTAAGATGTGAAAGAGATGTATCTCATTACAACAGCGCGTGTAGCGGTGATCAATGCGTACATCATGCCCATCGCGCTTTTCTAGGCGCAGGTGTATCCCCCCCCGGACGCCAAATGGGAGGAGCTTCGGAGGTTGTGCCACGCCTTCGTGTATGGAGGAAGGGCGAGTGCGGGGCCCGGCTTCATCCAGTGGAGCACGGAGCTAATGCAGATGAGGAGGAGTGACGGGGGGCTGGGGGGTAATTAACCTCCGAAAGCGGCTCGACGCGGAGGCCCTCCACTCGGCAGGCGGGCTCCTGACTGAAGAGTCCTCCCTGAGGAGAAACCTGGCGGAGAAGGCGGCACGCCTCCCTCTCGGCTACGCATCATTCTATGCGCATGAGGCCCTGCTCAAGGCATGGGGGGGGGAGGGGAGTGAGCGATGGAAGGCGATTGCGGCAGTGGTGATGGCGTCCCCTATCGCCTGCGACCTGCCAAGCAAAACCAGGTGGGATGAGGAGAGGGAGCGGGTATTTTTCAACTGACACATACTGCGGGGTGAGAGTTTCCCTTTTGGGAGAAGGAAGGAGGACGTGTGCTTGCGCGACATCACCGTGAGGGACCTGGTGATGAAGTGGGTGGATGGCACCCGGAGTCCAAAGTCGCCGGAGCAACTAGGGCGTTTGTTGGGAAGCAAAGAAGCGCCGGCACTAGCACCAGCGGTGTTTGAGGCAGTACCAGACGAATGTGCAGGTATATATATAGGGATCACAGTACAAGCAAAGTCAAGAAGTAAGCAAGTGAGGTCCAGTAGGCACAAGGCCTAGAAGAGTACAGAAGCGCTGATGGTCACAAGGCTGAAGCGCCTTGGTGAACACGTCAGCAGTGTTGGCCTGAGTGGCCACGTAACGCAGACGAAGCTGACCACGCTGCTGCAGCTCTCGAGCCAGAAAGTACCGCAGAGCGATGTGCTTCGTTCTGTGCTCCAGTCTGTGCTCCTCACACAAGGCAATGGCAGCCTTGTTGTCGACGTACAGCACTGGAGGAGAACGAGGCCGCTCTCCCAAGTCGGTCAGCAGGTAGGTGAGCCAGCGTAGCTCCTGGGCTGCCATGGCTGTGGCGTAGATCTCAGCCTCACAACTGGAGCTGAGAACTGAAGAAGAACGTGTAGAACGCCAAGAAACTGAACCAGAGCCAAGGCTGAAGGTGTAACCCTGAGACGACCGCTGAGTGGCCTGGTCGTCTGCCCAAGAAGCGTCTGAGTGCCCAGTGAGAACAACTCGGTCTCGCCCTCCAAGCACTAGCCCCATGCCCGACGTACTGCACAAGTAGCGCAACACCCTCTTAGCGGCATCCATGTGCTCCTTCCGGTGACGGCCAGGAGCGACATAGCGTGCAAGGATGCTAAGAGGGTATGCAAGGTCAGGTCGAGTGCAGGTCATCAGGTACATGAGGCAGCCCACAAGCTCTGGATACAGGCCACTCGGCTCTACGGACTCATCCGAAGGCAGAGCTGAGAGCGAGTGACCGGTAGGCAGAGGAGTGGACTGAGGCGAGGAGTACGTGAAGCCGAAGCGCTGAAGGACCTGCTGCACCATGTGTGACTGAGTCAAGGTGATGGTGCGCCGTGCTCTGTCCCGGGTGATCCGCAAGCCAAGATAGCTTGTCAGTTCACCCAGGTCTGTGCACGTGTGTCTCTTCTGCAGCTCCGACTTCACGTGGGCGAGAGCCTCAGTGTCAGCATCAGCACCTCCAGCAGCTCCAGCTCCAGCAGCGCTAGCAGCAGCACCTCCAGCACCTCCAGCACCAGGGTCCGCGACACGAGGCGCGCCACTCAAGAGAGTGCAGCGCCGCTCGTACCACTCACGGATCCGCTCAAGAGAGGGCAGCTCCCGCTGAGGAGGGGAGGCACCAGCACCAGTCCCAGTAGTACTCCTGGCTCCAGAGGCACCTCTCCGGAGGCTGCAGTACTGTGAGTACCACTCACGCAGCTGCTCCGAGGAGAGAGCTCCTCCAGGTGTAGGACTCCCAGGCTCAGCACCCCCAGACTCAGAACCCCAAGACTCCGGACTCCGCGGCCCAGCACCCCCAGGCTCAGCACCCCCAGGCTCAGTACTCCCAGGCTCAGCACCCCCAGACTCCGCACCCCCAGGCTCCGCACCCCCAGGCTCAGCACCCCCAGGCTCCGCACCCCCAGGCTCCGCACCCTCAGGCTCCGCACCCCCAGGCTCCGCACCCGCAGCAGGACGAGAGTCAACAGCTACCTCAACAGGCTCAACCGGGTCTACCTGGGACACACCTGAGGGAGCGGCACCCTGAGGGGGGAGGGGGTCTACCACAGCAGCACCTGGCGCGAGGAAGAGAGGCGGGGGGGGGGAGCGGGGCAGTGCGGTAGGGGAAGAGGCGGTAGTAGGGGACGGACTCGTCAAAAGTGACGTCCTGAGAGGGCAGGACCCGGCGCGAGGTGGGGTGGTAAAACTGCCAACCAGACGCGTCAGGGACAAAGCCAAGGAAGACGCAGGGAACAGCGCGGGAGGAGAGCTTGTCCGCGGATGTATCGCGGACAAAGGCTCGAGATCCCCAAACCCGGAAACGCGACGCATCGCCAACCTCCCCCGTCCACAGCAGTGTGGGCGAGGTCTCCGGCAAGGAGACACGGGGCCAGAGGTTGAGCTGATGCGCAGCGTACCGGACCGCAAACGGCCACAGAAAGTGGGGGGCAGCCGCATGGATCAAGGAGGTACGGGCGACCTCCATGACTAGGCCAATGCGGCGCTCCGCAACCCCATTCTGCTGTGGAGAGGCCGGAAGCGTGAACGACTGCTCAATGCCGTGCTCAGCACAGTAGGCTGCCAAGAGGTCGGAGGAGAACTCACCACCTCTGTCAGAGTGCAAGCGCAAAACAGGAAAGTCCGAGTGGAAACGCTCGCTGAGCTGGAGACGAGCTCTGCGGATCCAAGGGATCAAAACATCAGGGACCTCACCCTTGGTGCGCAAGGGGAAGACCGTGGTGTAGCGCGAGTAGTCGTCAACAACTATCAAGAAGTACCTCTCCTGACCCTGACCACGGACGCGGGCTAGGCCCCACACGTCCATGTGGAGCGTCTGCAAGGGAGCAGTCGTCGGGGGAAACGAGGAGGAGTGAGGAGCGGCGCGCTGCCGCCCCTCGACACAGGGAAGACAGGGAGGAGCAGGCGAGGGTGGGAGGGGAGGGAGGACCCTGGGAAGACCAGAGACAAGGTACCGGGAGTGCATGGCACGAAGGCGCTGCACAGACGGGTGGCCAAGTCGGTGGTGCCAGAGGACAGTCTCGTGCGCCAGAGAGCGACACGAGCAGGGGGGCGACAGCTGACCTGACGCAGACGCAGATCTAGACGCAGCGACCTGAGGGGACTCAGTGGTCAGTGTGTACAGGTCCGACCCCGGCTGCCGAGTGAAGGTAGCCAAGTGGCGGCCCGTACGAGCACACGTGCAGTGTGTCACGCGCTCGTAGGCAGGGGTGAACTGGTGAACACCCCCGTCCTGGAGCGCACACCCTGCCACCAGGTTCGTAGAGAACGAGGGGAGGTGGAGACCTGACAGTGTGCCCGACGGGACCGCAGGACAAGGAAGGACAGTGGAGGAGGTCGCAATGACCGGACCCCCAGAGGGGTCAGCGAGGGAGACAGCAACTGGCCGAGCAAGCGGCTCAAGGGCAGTGCGGTCACGAAAGAAACAGCGAGAAGCACCTGAGTCAAGAGTGAAGGTGTGCAGTGCCTCAGTCGACTCAGTACCAGGGGGCGCAGACTCACTAGCACCTAGAGCAGCAGCCTCACCAGCACCTGGGGTAGCAGCCGCACTAGCACCTAGAGCGGCAGCCTCACTCACAGGACACGGCAGCTGCACCTGTCCATCACCAGAAGCTCCCGACCGACCCACTCCAGAGCGACTACCACTACGGCCACCCCGACAGCCCCAACTGGCGTACCACTCACGAAGCTGCTGGGGTGAAAGAGGACACTGCAGCTGCACCTGTCCACTACCAGAAGCTCCCGACCGACCCACTCCAGAGCGACTACCACTACGGCCACCCCGACAGCCCCAACTAGCGTACCACTCACGAAGCTGCTGGGGTGAAAGAGGACACTGCAGCTGCACCTGTCC